AAGAGGGCTTTCCCATCCCCTTTTTGGGGTTAACTCTGAGTCTAAAAGGGGCATCATGGTGCCCAGCACTCCCTGCCCCCCCCACTGTCCTTCCTTACCCCTTTCCCCCCTCCCCCCCAGGCCATGTTACGGCGCATTTTGGGGGGTCCTCGTGGACCCCCGGCGCTGCCCCCCCGCCCCGCATCGCGCTCAGCTGCCGACCAGCACCCCCCAGACCTGGCTCGGGAACGTTCCAAAACTGTCACCTCCTTCTACAACCAACCCGCCATCGACGCCGCTGCCGAGAAGGTGGGGTACTGAGGGGGGGGGGATTTGGGGTGAATTTGGGGTGTTTTGGAGGTGTTGGGAGGGATGCTGTGGTGGTTTGGGGGGGATTTGGGGTGTTTGGGGGGGGTCTTGTGGTCTTGTGGCTTGGATGATGTCACGGTGTTGTCAGCCTGATGGCCACCATCAGGTTGTCTTCAGGGATGTGGGCACGAGGGAGGTCTTGGGGGTGTCCTGGGGGGTTTTGGGGTGAATTTGGGGTGTTTTGGGGGTGTTGGGAGGGGTGCTGTGGTGGATTGGGGAGGATTTGGGGTGTTTGGGGGGGCTCTTGTTGGGGTCCTGTGGCTTAGATGATGTTTGGTGTTGTTGTCCTTGGGGGTGAGGACATGAGGGAGGTCTTGGGGGTGTTCTGTGGGATTTTGGGATGAATTTGGGGTGTTTGGGGGTCTTTTTGGGTCTTGTCACCCCACTGACACGACGGTGTTGCAGCCGTCGGTCCGCCTGACGCCCACCACCATGCTGTACTCGGGGCGGTCGCAGGATGGAAGCCACATCTTGGTGAGTTGGGGACGGGCAGGGGGGGCTTTGGGGACACGGTGGCTTTGGGATCCGGGGGGTTTTGGGGTCCCTGATGGCTTTGGGAACACCAAGGTCCTGGCATGAGCAGATCCAGGTGGCTTTGGGGACACGGGGGCTTTGGGATCCAGGGGGTTTTGGGATCCCTGATGGCTTTGAGGACCCAAATGTCCTACTGGGATCGACCCCTGGTCTCCAGGTGGCTTTGGGGACATGGTGGCTTTGGAATCTGGATAGGTTTGGGATCCCTGATGGTTTTGGGGACGCCAAGGTCCTGGCACGAGCAGATCCAGGTGGCTTTGGGGGCTGGGTGGCTTTGGGATCCAGGGGGTTTGGGGATCCCTGGTGGCTCTGGGAACCCATATGTCCCACTGGGATCAACCCCTGGTGCCTGGGTGGTTTTGGGACACGGTGGCTTTGGGATCCAGGGGGTTTTGGGATCCCTGGTGGCTCTGGGGACCCAAATGTCCCACTGGGGTCAACCCCTGGTGTTTGGGTGGGTTTGGGGACACGGTGGCTTTGGGATCCAGGAGGTTTTGGGATCCCTGATGGCTTTGGGGACCCAAATGTCCCACTGGGATCAAACCCTGGTCTCCAGGTGGCTTTGGGGACATGGTGGCTTTGGAATCTGGATAGGTTTGGGGTCCCTGATGGTTTTGGGGACACGAAGGTCCTGGCACGAGCAGATCCAGGTGGCTTTGGGGACACGGTGGCTTTGGGATCCAGGGGGTTTTGGGATCCCTGATGGCTCTGGGGACCCAAATGTCCTACTGGGATCGACCCCTGGTCTCCAGGTGGCTTTGGGGACATGGTGGCTTTGGAATCTGGATAGGTTTGGGGTCCCTGATGGTTTTGGGGACACGAAGGTCCTGGCAGGAGCAGATCCAGGTGGCTTTGGGGACACGGTGGCTTTGGGATCCAGAGGATTTTGGGATTCCTGATGGCTTTGGGGACCCAAATGTCCCACTGGGATCAACCCCTGGTCTCCAGGTGGCTTTGGGGACATGGTAGCTTTGGAATTTGGATAGGTTTGGGGTCCCTGATGGTTTTGGGGACACCAAGGTCCTGGCAGGAGCAGATCCAGGTGGCTTTGGGGACATGGTAGCTTTGGGATCCAGGAGGTTTTGGGATCCCCGATGGCTTTGGGGACCCAAATGTCCCACTGGGATCAACCCCTGGTGCCTGGGTGACTTTGGGACACGGTGGCTTTGGGATCCAGGAGGTTTTGGGATCCGTGGTGGCTCTGGGAACCCAAATGTCCCACTGGGATCGACCCCTGGTATTTGGGTGGGTTTGGGAACGTGGTGGCTTTGGGATCCAGGGGGTTTTGGGATCCCTGACGGCTCTGGGGACCCAAATGTCCCACTGGGATCAACCCCTGATCTCCAGGTGCCTTTGGGACACGGTGGCTTTGGAATTTGGATAGGTTTGGGGTCCCTGATGGTTTTGGGGACACCAAGGTCCTGGCAGGAGCAGATCCAGGTGGCCTTGGGGGCTGGGTGGCTTTGGGATCCAGGAGATTTTGGGATCCCTGATGGCTCTGGGAACCCAAATGTCCTACTGGGATCAACCCCTGGTGCCTGGATGGCTTTGGGACACGGTGGCTTTGGGATCCAGGGGGTTTTGGGATCCCTGGTGGCTCTGGGAACCCAAATGTCCCACTGGGATCGACCCCTGGTCTCCAGGTGGCTTTGGGGACACGGTGGCTTTGGAATCTGGATAGGTTTGGGATCCCTGATGGTTTTGGGGACCCAAATGTCCCACTGGGATCGACCCCTGGTGCCTGGGTGGCTTTGGGACACGGTGGCTTTGGGATCCAAGAGATTTTGGGATCCCTGATGGCTCTGGGGACACCAAGGTCCTGGCAGGAGCGGA